TTATGGAACCCAACGGTTAATTACAATGTTTACAACAGCCCTCCACTGGTCCCTCTCCTGAGCCAGATCAATCCAATCCATACCATCCCAACCTATCTCTCTACGATCCATTTTACTATTGTTCACCCACCTACGCCTTGGTCTTCCCAGTGGACTCTTTCCTTTTGACTTTCCCACCAATATCCTATATGCATTCCTCGTCTCCCCCATTCGTGCTACATGCCCTGCCAACCTCATCCTCCTTGACTTCATCATTCTAATTATACTTTGAGAAGAGTACAAGTTATAAAGCTCCTCATTATGCAGTTTTCTCCAACCTCCTGTCACTTCATCTCTCTTCGGTCCAAATATTCTCCTCAACTCCCTGTTCTCAAGCACCCTCAGTCCATATTCCTCCCTTAATGTCAGAGACTAAGTTTCATACCCATAGAGAACCACAGACAAAATTATAGTTTTATATATTGTAATTGTTATGTCTTTGGACAGCAGACGAGAAGACAAAAGGTTCTGGACTGAATGGTAGCAAGCATTATCTGAATTCAGTCTACTGATTTCCTCCTCGATCAGGCTATCACCCAGTAGATTCACATCATCAGCACAGTCCAGCAGCTGATGTGTTCCATTTAATTTCAGTCCCACCTGGTTTTCCTGGATCTCTCTAATGGCACATTCTAAAGCACAGTTGAAAAGCTGTGGTGATAAAGCATCTCCTTGTTTTAGACCATCTTGAATAGGAAATGTATCAGACTTTACGTTTCATGTAATCAAATTTTAATCAGCTTAATAAGGTGTTTGTGCGGTTATGTACAGGGAGTCTCAGGAGGAAAGGCCAATATTCTGGGAGGGCATAGTCTCGGTCATACTAAGCAAAAAGGTTTATATGCACATGTGTCTTATACCGAACGGTTTCCGAGATACAGCTATGTCACTGTACACTTCCAAAACTGTTTATAAAAAAGAGATTTTACTTACTGGTTCTCATTCTTTTTCTTTTCCTTGGCACTACAGCCCCAGTGGGTTTAGGCCTACCTCCATGAACTTCTCCGTTCACTTCGGCTTTTCTAGATCTTACACATTCGGTAGGACTCCTTGGGCGGGTGATCAGCTCGTCGCAAGGCCTCTACCTGTAGACAAACAGAGAAAAACGCACACACACAAACTAAACATCCATGCCCTGGGTGGGATTCGAACCCACGATCCCGGTTTCCAAGTGAGCGAAGACAGTGCATGCCTTAGACCGCTCGGCTACCGTGACTGGCTGTTGGTGTCTTTTACTGTAGACAATTCCAGAAAAGAGGCCAGACCTAGTTCACATTACACGTGTTCACGACACTGGAACCGGAAACAGCCTGAGGACATGTGGACGTCAGGCCATAGAATTTCAACTACTGACTCTCAGTTTCCTTTGTAGTTTGGACCATTAGTCATACAGTTGGACAGCTTGTGTGTGTGTGACCTACATTTGGCATAAGTCTCACAATTGTACAGCTGTAATTGAAGCATTCTCATTATCTCATATTCCTAAATTACGAAGGACGTGCATGTCAATATGGAATCAGGTCCAGTTGATTTGCATCAGTTTAGCATACAGTGACATTGCGTGCAGCCTGTCGCTTGTCCATGACTCCTAAGGGCACGACATCCTTCAGTAGAAGAAACGTTACTACCGCCAGCTTCGTGCGCAGTTTAGAGCCTCCCTCTGTTCTCCTGTTGCTCCCACTTCGGAGCATAGAGCATCCGTGAAATCTTTTGTCTCACTTCCCTTTCTTAATTCTAAGACAGTCGGTAGGACTCCTTTGACGGGAGACCAGCCCGTCGGAAGGCCACTACATACGCAAACACAAAATAAACAGAGACATATATCCACGCCTTGAGTGGGATTCGAACCCACGATCCCAGTGTTTGAGCGAGGGAAGACAGTTCATGCCTCGGACCGCGCGGCCACTGTGATAGGTCAGTTTAGAGCCAATAGTTCAATTTTTTGAAGTTCTAGTAGCATTAGAATGTTTTCACGACACGAAGTCCATAGAAGGGTGTCAAGTTTGGGTAGGTGATAAGCGTTCAGAAGGACAAAAATTTTCCCGTCAATTTTGCAACAAAAAGGTTCGTCACCTTGATCATGACGGCCAGCCAGCGGACCCCATCCCGAGCGAACTGAATCCAGATCACGCCCTAATAACACGTCTTTAATTTTCATGTTTTCCTCCAGTCTGAGTAACATGTATCTTATATAGGATGAGAGTGTGGAATGGATTCACCTGGCTCACGACAGAGACTAGTGTACACGGCAATGACCCTATGGGTTCCACAAAATACTGGGAATTCTGTGTGGCTTAGCAACTACTGGCTTCTCAAGAAGGATGCTGTTCCATGGAGTCAGCTTCATCCCATCTGTGTCTGGGTCTTTTAAATAACGTTTTCCTTGAGGATTTTGAGACTAAAACTTATGTACTAATTTCAGCACTCCACATGCATGCTATGTTTCTTACCCTTTTTATCCTATCGAGTTTATAACCATAATAATATTTGCTGAAGTGTATAAATTATTAAGCTTTTCATTCAGCACCCCCCGGTCATGTTCTCCCTCTTGCTCTTCCTTCCCCCGCTTGAATCCAAATATATCCCTCTGCACTTTCTAACGTACACTCTTCCCTTTGGCAGAGTGCGCTAAGTTTCGGAACCATACTTAACAAGTAGATGTTCCCGTCTGAACACCACCAGCAAGCCTTAGCTGCGCCTCTCCCTGGGCATGAAGCCAGGCCGATAGGGAACGTCGAGGTGAGATGCCAGTGATCTGGAACTCTGAACCAGATGGAGACGAGTGGCCTACTTCATATTCTGGCAGCTTCAGCCGCAGAGGGAACCCCTGGTACCCACTGCATAGGCTCTCGTAGAGCCTTTTGTGAAGGACCATATCGCGGGGGCTGCAGGGAACCGCATTGCGCACACCACCTCATGTTACTGTCCTGCACTGGAAAGCAATTTACCCCGTCGGGCAGTCTCCTTGAGACACTAACACTCGCTAAGCAGGACAAGAAAATGCCTTCATTTCGTAAACCACAAAGTTCATCATCGTATACACAAAGAGTTGTCGACTGGACGCCATTTTGCGACGGAACCGTCCTGTTTCCATTGCTTGCGTTTCACAAAGAACCCAAGCGCAAATTGTGCGCAATATTGCGTGACGTATTCTTCCCGTTATCAACCCAACTTGGAATAACATTCTTTGTCGGCTGTCCACGAGTACTTGTTCAGTACTTTCGCAGATACCGCGCACACGCGTAGGCTTCTTCATGGGGAGGGCTGAGGATGAGTCCGCTTGCTACGTCAGCCGGTAATTTTCCTGCTGTGCTACGATGGTAACGAGCAGGAGCAGTTAGTGGGATGAAAACTGACAGAGGATACCGAAGTACCCGGAGAAAAACAGCCTTAGTGACCCTGTCCACCGAAAATCCTACATGATATGACCTGGGATCGAACTCGGGGAGCCACGGTGGGAAGCCCACACGGACATGCTATGTCTCGCTGTATCACAAAATATACGCTCACTGTTTGTTGTACCGATGCTTGCGCGTAACTCTGCGCATACTCGACTGAATGTTGTATCATCGCGCAACGCGTACAGAACGATGTACTTCATCTTAACTGCTGTGTACGTTTATTTGGACAGAGGCCTGTATTTACCGGAGCTTGTCCATAGTTCTATTATGGTTACCACAGAGATTTTTAAAATATGTGTATGACGTGTAATTACACAAGTCATCAGAATGCAAGAGTGTCCATACGTCCATAATTTCTATCGTAAAAGTCAACAACTTTTAATTCTTTAAATTTTATGGTTTCTGTCGTATTTCTTATGTAAAAGCAGCAGTAATTTCTTATTGTAAAAGTATGGATTGTCTGCACAGCACTATTTCCAGCAGGCAGAGTTTGTTATCTAGGATTTGCTCTTTCTTTTTTTTATTTAAATTTTTTATTGCTAGTGGGGTGGGACTAAGTCCCTTGTACTGCGGCCACTTCTGGCCTATTGTACCAGCCCCAGATGATAGGTGAGGGTGATTGTGGAGCAATTTGGTGGAATGAAGATTGGCAGGGGAAACCGAAGTACTCGGAGAAAACCTGCCCCAGCGCCACTTTGTCCACCACAAATCCCACTTGACCAGACCCGGGATCGAACCCGGGCCACAGCGGTTGGAAGCCAGCGACTAACCGCTTGAGCTATGGCGCGGCCTATTTGCTCTCTTGGTAAAAAATAAATATAATCTAGAGATTTACGCAACAAAATGCAACAAATTATGAGTAACTCATAGTCTGTTTCTAATATTATATTTTGTATTTGTAACATTTGTATAGCACTGATGTTTTCCTGAATTTACATTTTTATACCTTGGCTGTGCCTGTTTGTATTTTAATTTAGTCTGATACTCCGCGGTAGCGCAGTTGGTTAAGGCACTACGCTACAAGCCGGAAGGTCGCGGGTTCAAGTCCCGATGAGGTCATTGGATTTTTTTCAATTTACCTAATCCTTCCAGCCGCACTATGGCCCTGGGGTTGACTCAGCCTCTAACAGAAATGAGAACCAGGAATATTCTTGGGAGTAAAGGGCGGCCGGCGAGTAAGGCTGACAGCCTTGCCGCAATCTATGAGCCGATTGTCTAGACAATGTGGGGACCTCAACATCTCACAAGCCTTTGGGCCTCCACGGCCTGTTATAGGGATACCTTTACTTTTTTACTGAATTTGAATTACCTTACAAAATCTTCTTGTTGTTGACTTTGCACAGAAGGCACAATTACTGAATTTTACGAAGTTAAAAAAAGGATCGACGGAGCAAAGGCTACAAATGAAAAAAGATTTTGGGAGTGATGTACAGGCCTTGGTTTAGTCAGACAGCATTGTATGTAGACCTACAATTTAATATACAAAAACATAACACAATGTTAAAATACAACACTTTCGCACTCCATGACTTCCGATAAGTGAAAGCCAACACATGCAGATAAGAGCTCGGGGGCTTTGGCGCTTACGCCCTTGCTTAGTAGACAATGCGCAGTCTAAGTGCCGCTTCTGTTAGTTAACTTTCCTTACAACTGAGTAGCATCCTGGAAGTGTTTTGACAAGACTGACACAGTATCTGAGGCAGAGGTAAGCAGTAATACGTACTTTCAGAAAACACAACGAAATATGAATAAGTAGAAAGTTGCAGAAAATTTGCTAAAGTTTATACTGCACTCTCTTAATCTGCGACACGTTTTATTCTGTTACTGTACGGTGTATTATGCTATACTGTAAAATGATACACGAAATTTTCGAGACATGAAACGTTGTGTTCAGTTGTACGTTATTTTTGATGCATTTTTTTTTCCAGAATATCGTTAGTTCTAGAAAAAATTAATAATAATTTACAGTGGAAGTTCAGCTCACTGAAATCATCTGCCCTTTACTATACATTATCATTTAATCATTTAATTGATTATAATTTCATATAATAAGAATTTGTATGAAATCATGAAGCAATATTTTCATATAATTAATTGGCTAACAGCCTCATTTGGCACACTTCTGAAAATATTTGCTGGGCCATTCCCATGTAAGTATATCTCGTACTTCTTAACTAGCCCCAGCAGAAGCAGCAGTAGCAGATCTGTAAGATCTTCTGTGAATGATAACTTCCTAACAATCTGTAAAATATTTAAAGTTGCATCACACAAGAAGGAATTCCGGGAGAAGCTTAAGGCTCCTTTTCTTTTGTACAGACATCCACTTACATAAATTATGCGTTTTTAATATTATATTTAAGAATAAAAATTCCTAAGGCAAAATGAAATGCAATTTACCTGTAACGAGTGAGCTAGCGTGCCGTGAGTGATCATAATTGAGCAATGTGTCGAATCCGACTCACAACACAATTTTCCCTACTTTCAGTCATAAATATGTCACCTGTTGCTATTATCATTGCTATTAGTATCTTCGTTTTAAAAATTCCATATCTCATAAGTGCAGATTATGTTAACGACACATTTTTCCGCGTCGTTTCCATATTCGGAAATACTAAAACACAATAGTTCATACGTAATTTGTAGTCTACTATTCGACACGTAATTTTGTAGTCTATATTTATAACGTAGGAGCCGGAATACCGTAGTCGGTATACCGACTAGTTACGGGCTGGAAGACCGAGGGGTCGGTGTTCGAGTCCCGGTAGGGTTAAGAATTTTCTCTTCTCCACGTCGTCGAGACCGGCTCTGAGGTCCACCCAACTACCTATCCAATGCGTACTGAGGGGAAAGCTGGATTACGTTTGTGGATCCACGTATTATTGAACTATTTGAAGCGATGGTCAGCTTTCCCGAGAGAAAGAGCCCCCAGTGCAACTTTATAGGAGGCTGGGTGGGCACAAGAACAGATTTGAAAGACGTGAAGTGGAGAAGTACCTTGCCGAAATCGAACTCCCGACTCCATGGCCATCCAGTCCGTGGCCAGTCGCTACATCGACTGCACTATCCCAGCTCGAAGGGCCTTTCGTAATAAATAGAATGTGTTTACCAATTGCAGGTGTACAAGGAGAAGGGAAATTATTTATCTTCAGGTTGATAATGTTATAAGCCTTTTGCAATACACACTTGTTCGCCATTTTAGGCACGAGGGAAGACATGACGGTTTAGCGTCTGACAAGCGCGTAGTGCGTGAGTGCCCAGGTATTTACTGCCAATATTGAAATCTTCATATTCGGCAAAGAATCTCTGTAGGAAGGATGTGATTGGTTTATATAAAATCCTATACCGACCTACTTACTTTCATGAACCAATTACAGGTAGTTTCACCTCAAAGGGCGTGCCTTCTCCATCCAAAAGTGCTAAGCCTGACGGTACATGTTTTAGCCGAAGCTTCCATTTTGGATACTAGAAACTGTAACTTGGGAACGGTCATAACTTCAACGTCAAGATAAATTGTAAATTGAATACAGTGAACATTTCGGATTGGATGGAACCAGCATGAGTATCGATGCATTCATTGCAAAGCAGCGCAAGTGCAAATCCACTTCCACAACCTACTCATTATTCGGCGCCAAAGAAATAAGTATGAATAAGTTATAAGTGTCCCTCGTCCGAGCTGTGATTCTTCCAGAAATTTAGTGCTTATTCATATATGAAGAGAATGGAGATAAAAATTAACTCCGCAAGCGAAGTGTACCGACCGAGCGACCGCCGTTTGTCGTCGAAGTTAGTGCCAACTTTAGCGGGTAGAGGGTGTCGCGTGGTCAGCGCAACGGATCCCCGCGGCCGTTAAAGAAAATGGAGATAGTAATAGGCAAACCATCATTTAAATTCCATCACGTTCTGGCGCCGAAATCAACCCTTCGTCCCACAATTGATCACAGGCACTGGAGAACGCAAGCTTGTCGCCGTCTCTGGGAGCGATTTGATCGATTATGCAATCTCCACAGATAATACCGTTCGCAGTTTCAAAATACAGAAGCCTGTTAGTATAACTCCCCCAAATTCAAATTTCATACAAATCTCTTCCGCGGTTCTCAAGTGATTCATCCATGAGGAAGGACGGACGGAAGAACGGTTTCATTACGTGCTCCGTATGGTTGAGAACGCGCGTAGAAAGCGCTCGTATTGTGAAAGCAATCAAAATAAACGAATCATTTATTTGCTTCAATTTTTATAGATCTAGCCGACTTCATTCAAGTATATTGTATATTGGAGTTTCCAGATAACTTCTCAGTTTCATCGCTTCAGATGGAGATTATAATTCAGAAACTCTGTGGGGCAGACTCCTTAGTGATCAGTGATCAAGTTGCTCCTTACCATTTACTGGCATCTGAGGTTTTCGTATTTCAAGCTCCAATTGTCCCTTGGTTATCGCTGTTAAGAAGGGAGGAATGAAAATTATAGCACGGCAGCTATGCTCTTGCTTTAAACTGCAGAAGCAAAAATTCAGACTTTCGAAGATCACGATAATAAACAATATCCGGGCCTTGTGATAAACATGTTAATGCCAACGACACCTCATAAATCATGTTTCCGCCGTTATTATTGTTGATTGTTAAAAATTGAGAAATATGATTTTCGTATGATCATCATAAATATAAATAAACAGAGTGAAACTGATCAGCTGGCTCAAGTGTTGTAGGTGGGGAGTATGCGCATGCGCAGAGCATGATGCACTCATAATCCTGCCTATTTCCGTCAGAAAAAGAATTGCTTAGTAGACCATCAAGCCATCTAAGTATGTCCCCCTTTTCAACGCTTGACCGACTNTGCCAATCTTCATTCCACCAATTGCTCCACAATCACCCACACCTATCATCTGGGGCTGGTACAATAGGCCAGAAGTGGCCGCAGTACAAGGGACTTAGTCCCACCCCACTAGCAATAAAAAAAAAGTTCTTCTCATGAAGAAATAAAAATATTATATGAGGCTTGAGGTTCACGTGACGCGGAGTGGTACACTCTACCGCGCTGTTGCACTGCTGGAACCTGCTGCCTCTACCGTCACAGTATCCCGCCCTGAACAGACGAGCACCAGGTTCGTCCGAAGCGTAGGTACGAAATGGTACAGCGCCACATCCCAGAAGACTCTTAGCTAGTATATGCTATATCGCATACACTAAAAGGACAATTTACAGCTTTATACGAGTGTACTGTAGGCTTTGTATATCAGTCCACATGCCTAAAACTGAAGGAAGCCAGCTGACGTCATTTAAAGACCTGTCACATCTACTTTCGCCAAAATTTGATTAACGGTTATGACAAACTTGTGACTTTATGGAATGCTGGTCTTTGTAATAGGTAAATATTGCGGCGTATTTGCTCCATGCAAGAACGGCTGAGCCATAGAAATGGCTGTTTCTAAGTAATACACACATGCAGCAATGGAACAACGGGATTATGCAACCCGCTTCTAGGCAACGGCTCGGTAATCACACTTCCGCGCGGACACAATGACGTCACAACCCAACAGCGCTTAGCAATCACGTGAAACATTTTGAGTAAATTTAGATATTGGCCGCGCCACAGCTCAAGCGTTTAGTCGCTGGCTTCCCATCACGGCGGCCCGGGTTCGATCCCGGGTCTGGTCAAGTGGGATTTGTGGTGGACAAAGCGGCTCTGGGGCAGGTTTTATCCGAGTACTTAGGTTTCCCTTGCCAATCTTCATTCCACCAATTGCTCCACAATCACCCCCACCTATCATCTGGGGCTGGTACAGTAGGCCAGAAGTGGTTGCAGTGCAAGGGACTTAGACCCATCCCACTAACAATAAAAAAAAAATAGATACTAAGCATGTCAGGGTGCAGACCACAAATCGCCATTTTGCTTCTTTTCATGAAGTGGGTTCCATAAAATCCTGGGAATTTCTTGAGTATCTACACGATTGTCGGCTTCTCAAGAAGGGCTCAGCTCCACGAGAGTGATTACAGCTGTAATGTTCGTCCCATATTCCAGTAGCTATGAAGTTTTCCTCAGTTTCCAGTAACGCTAATGTCTGGCGTCACGTTCCAGTCGCTACAGTGTTCATTCTTGTGTTTCAGACAATCAGCCATGGCGGGCTTAATGCATCTGGTGGTGCACAATTACAATGAGATGCTGCAATCGAAGAAAGGTGAGTCACGTGTCACGCATTATGAAACGTTGCTTGCCGGAGTAAACATGTTGACGTAACTGAAGCCAGTAGAGGACGTGGTAGGAAACTAATACGCTGCTTAAATCCTGCAGACGAACAGCACCACACTGAGACTGTAGTTATCCAATTTTGTCAAAACAGTGCAGGAGGAAATGATTTTGATTATGTAATACGAGTGAGACTACAACAGACTCGATGCATTTCTCTGTTTCGTGTCATGCAATCAAAGCACCGCGAGACTTCGGCTGAAGTTGTCCTGTGCTTAAGCACTAGCGCCATGAATACTCTGGGAAACTGGAAGTAAGTACGGTTAACTATAGGCGTCAGATGGATGTGACATCAGTTTGAAGATCGGGGGCTTTCCACGGAGAAGCAACTCCCTGTGTTCAGTGGTTGGTCTTTCCCTGATGCGCTTCATTTCAACTGGAGATTTTTCATGAAATTCCCGTCTCATGCCCAATACCCACAAACCTGACTGACATCTTTCGTGAATGTCCTCAATCCCTCAACGTAAATGCGGGACATTGCTTTAAATTAAGCAAATGCCATTTCTTTCACATTTGCGTCCACTACTTAGTATTTATTTATCAGTCAAATATTCGATATTATATAATGTAAACTACTGAAACGGCATTAAATATAGTATAAATAAATAAAACTTGGAACTAGTAGAGGCATTACACGCTGTACTTTCAGACTTACGGTAACAATGGTAGCAATGGGATCGATACGAGAGCCATCTGTTGCACAGTCATCACAATTTACGTGGTGACAGTTGTTTGAAATACAGTGCAGCTTTCGGTAAGACTTCTTTCAGTTTTGTAGAGTGTAAATTAATAAGATTGTTACCGCGTGTGGTGTATAGACCTATTTACGTAATTGTAGACATAATGGCGACTGTTGGAACTAGGAACATATAGAGGCGGTTTAATCACTTGTTACAGATCTACGTTAAAAATTTTGACTGTGGCGACAGCGCGAAAAATGTACAGATCCACGTTTTCTCAACCTCGCTGCTAGTTGGAGGTGAGTGGTCAGCTTCACGCCCCGAGAGCTTGATTACCGGGGAAAGGGCCACCGGCACCCATTGGATAGGAGGCTGGGGGGGCCCCGAGATGTACGAATTGAAATTAGGTAAGAGAGATGGACACTGAGTATTTTTATCATTCGGTTCTGAAGGGTTCTGGCGGTTGTGCTTATCAGTCAGGGTTACTGAAGTTTTGGACTTTGCCCATCATCCGGTATTCCGAACAACACGACGTTTCGCGAACAGAGACTCTTTCTGTCCCCAGTTGGAAGGGCGGGAGGCACCATCTATGTTGGGCCCGTCAGAAAAGACTGACCTCAAGGAGGACCAACGAGTGCGGTTAGCTGTTTATACACACTGTCCCATTGCAGGATGGTAAGTGGAAAATGAATTGAAAAAATACAGAAGGAAGCGATCGCAGTATAATTAGAGGCACTATGACAGAATTTGTATCGACAGTCGTCAATGTCCTCATCGAGATTCGAACCGGATGCCTCCCAAAACGAATCACAAAGGTCTCGATTCGAGCGAACTTACTCTGTGGTGCTGTGCTTGTCTTGTGTTTCAGACCCAATGGTGGACTCATGGTTCCTCATGAGCAGCCCTATGCCAGTTCTGTTAATTCTGGTCTTCTACTTGTACTTCGTTCTGAAGCTAGGACCTCAGCTAATGGCCACACGGAAGGCGTTCAATCTCCAAAGGATCCTTGTCGCATACAACTTTTATCAAGTCATATTCAGCCTCTGGCTCAGTAGTATGGTACGTATACTGCGCATGCTCTTGTCCATCATGATCACGTGCTCCACAGGCCCGCAGTTTGCCTGCTAATCATGTAACTTTACATGTGCATATAGTCTGTATAGATTTGTGTGTGTGTAAGAGACGGATATTTACGTCTCCGATGTGAGATTGCTCCACTTCTGCTAGTAAAACTCGGCACAACCACTAGAAGTGGGCGTAAGTGTCCCAGTATCCTAGCGTCATCGTACCAGATACAGTAGGGGGTAATTTTTAAAATATACAGAGTGTTCCTAAAAGAATGGCGGGGCTTTAGATATATTTCGTATTTCTTACCGTGTACAATCCTAACATGTGTCAATCGGAAGCTTAACTGTCCAAATTTTATGTACATCCATCAAAGTGCCTCTATGTGCGCACCTTTCGTTACCCAGCACACATCAATGCGATAGTCGAATTCCTGCCACACCCGCTGCAGCATTTCAGGTGTGATGGTCTCCACAGTACGATTGATTCTGTTTCGGAGATCCTGGAGCGATTGGGGCAATGGGGGTACATAAACCATGTCCTTTACGTACCCCCACAAGAAGAAATCACATGGAGTTATGTCCGGGGATCGGGGTGGCCACCGGAGAAGGGGGGCATCTTCACCTGCAGTACGTCCAATCCATCGTTGCGGAAGGACCAGATTAAGCAAACCTCTCACAATGCTATGGAAATGTTGTGGAGCACCGTCCTGTTGGAAAATGTAGTCACTGGAATCATTGGACAGTTGTGGAAACAACAAATTTTCCAGCATATCTTGATAGGTTACCAGTCACTGTTGCTTCAGCGAAGAAAAAAGGCCCGTACACTTTCTGTTGAGAGACAGCACAGAAGACGTTAATTTTCGGAGAATCACCCTCGTGCTCAATCTGTGCATGTGGATTTTATGTCCCCCAGATACGTACGTTGTGTCGATTAACTATCCCACTCAGATGAAAAGTGGCTTCATCACTGAAAACGAGAAGTTCCAGGAAACCATCGTCTTCCATCTTCTCTTGAATGTCCTCAGCGAAATGAGTACTGGCTATCTTGTCTTGTGGTTTCAGAGCTTGCAACAGCTGCAACTTGTACGGTTTCATTAATATCCGCTTACGCAGCGCCCTCCACAACGTCGTTGTTGGCATTTGCAATTCTCTGCTTCCTCTACGTAATGATTTTCTAGGGCTCCTCTGATACGTCTCCCTCACTCTTTCCACGTCTGCATGTGGCACACGTGGCCGCCCAGAACTCTTGCCTTTACAGAGACATCCACTGTTCACAAACTGCCGGTACCATCTGCAATGTTGTTTTCATATGGCGCCTCCTTCTGAAACCGTACACGGCGCACTGTAACGATGGATTTAGACACCTCAAATCTCAGCACGCAATAGGCCTTCTCCTGCTGGGTCGCCATCTTACATTTCACGCCTCCTAGCTGGCGGGAATGGAACTAGGAAAGAGCGCGATATACAAAATGAAAATTTGAGAGACGCGTTATGAGTCCGTATACATTTTGCTTTTCATCACCAAAAACTGACGGAGATATACGGCAATGAAACTCCACAATTCTTTTAGGAACACGCGGTATACGTGGGTAGGCTGAAAAGTAAGGCACACATGCTTGTAGAGCGCGAACAAAAACAAATAGCAAGATCGGGCAAAAAGTGCATTAAAATACAATTCTTAAGTTTCAAAAGCATATATTTATTTTTCAACATAGTCACCGTTAAGGCTAACACATTTCTCCCAACGTGTAACAAGTTTTTTCATTCCGTCACTGAAAAATTCTTCAGACTTTTCTCGAATCCAGGACTTGACAGCTGCCTTCACCTCATTGTCCGAGGTGTAATGATTACCCTTGAGGTCTCTCTTGAGTAGTGGAAAAAAATAAAAATCGCAAGGCGCAGGATCAGGGGAATAAGGAGGGTGTGGAATTGGTTCAAACTTCAGGTTTCGCAGAGCCTCTTCAGTTGCGCGCGAGGTGTGGATGATCGTTGTCATGTTGCAAGATTATTGGCGCCAGGCTGCCTCTAACACGACAAACTCGACGCCGGAGGTGTTTTAGAGTCTGTATGTACTGAGTAGAATTTACCGTTGCCCCTCATTCCAGAAAATCGGTCATATAAACTCGGTGAGCATCCCAAATCACAGTCAAAAGAAGTTTTTTGGCGGATGGTTGTGTTTTGAACTTTTTCGCCTGAAGAGAAGACGGATGTCGATATTCAGCGCTCTGTCTCTTCTCTTCCGGGTCGTAACGATGGACCCATGACTCGTCCCCCGTCACAATATTCAAAAGAAAGTCGTCTCCTTCGTCACGGTAGCGCTGCAAAGTTGTTCGGAGCATTCCAATCGACGCTGTTTGTTCTCATCTGTGAGACGGCGTGGTACCCATCGTGCACATGTTTTACGGTATCCCAATTGTTCAATAATGAAGCCGACACGTTCCTTGGATATTCCAATATGGTTTGCGATACGCTTTTGAGTGATTCGCCCGTCATTTTGAATCAAATCGTCGACGAGTTTGCGATCATTATCGTCTGTGGCAGTGATCGGACGTCCGCTGCGTGTTTCATCAACAATTATGGCTTTTCCAGGCTCGCAACCACGAAATTTTATTACCCATCAATTTACAGTAGACCTATGAACAGCATCGTCACCATAAACAGTCTTTAAACGACGATGAATCTCAGTAGGAGTCACTTTCTCAGCAGTTAAAAATTCGATAACAGCACGCTGTTTAACTCGCGTTGACATAGCACTAGAACGCGTCTCCATACTTCCGCTTCTCGAAATACACTGGATGAACACAACGACCTCAAACCTGCGCATGCGTACTGAGGGGGAATATTACTTCCATATGCCACCTGGCGCGCTTCTGAATGTCATTTCGTTTGCGCTCTACAAGCATGTGTGCATTACTTTTGAGCCTACCTACGTATAAAATATATGAAACAACCTACTTTATTTGTTTCAGCCTTTCAGGGTTGGTGCATGGTCCTACATATTTAAAAACTTCTGTCATCCAGTAGAATATCACAGAAATCCATTCTCAGTTGCAGTAAGTATAACATGCTTTTAAGTCATATATCATATGTGAGAGTCTCTGACATTAAGGGAGGAACATAGACTGAGAGTGTTTGAGAACAGGGTGCTGAGGAGAATATTTGGACCGAAGAGAGATGAAGTGACAGGAGGTTGGAGAAAACTGCATAATGAGGAGCTTCATAACTTGTACTCTTCTCCTAGTATAATTAGAATGATCAAGTCAAGGAGGATGAGGTGGGCAGGGCATGTAGCACGAATGGGGAGAAGATGAATGCATATAGGACATTGGTGGGAAAGTCAGAATGAAAGAGACCACTGGGAAGACCAAGGCGTAGGTGGGTGAACAATAGTAAAATGGATCTTAGAGAGATAAGGTGGGATGGTATGGATTGGATTTATCTGGCTCAGGATATGGAACAATGGAGGGATCTTGTGAACACGGTAATGAAACCTCGGGTTCCATAAAATGCTGGGAAGTTCTTGAGTAGCTGCACAATTGGCAGCTTCTCAAGAAGGGCTTAGCTCCATGATGAGCGAGTGTTGATAATATGTGAGAAAAACTCCAATGCGCTGATTTTCTGCCTCACACTGGGAATTTACGTCAGTATGCACTATACACGTCTTCACAAGCTTCCACTTTGGGTTTACGGATTTTGACATTTGATTCCATTTCTAGCCGGAAATTAACCCCGCTTCACCACACTTCGCTATAGCATCTGAAACAATCTGTCATGCTCCTTTCGGATGCGTTTTTACTTTCTAAATAGGGGTGTACTTATGCGCAAACCCGTGCACCAGGATGCACAATATTCACGCTGCCATGAATAGCTACCAGCTGCTGCTCTCACAATTCACTTTTAGTCGCCGTGCTACTGGTTTCATCTGCTTCGTAGTTGCCAAGGCGCCACGAGGGAAGTGATAGGCTGCACATGTATGTGTTCTGCTCAGCACAATATAAATGCAGAAGAATGAAAGTTTGTCTCGCAGTAAAGCTCACAAAATTATACAGACATAAAAAGAAGAGTGTTCCTTCGTCACAATGCTACAGAAGCGAAATGTCAACATTTTTCTGCCACAACACGAACAGGAGACCTGCAAGACCTGTCACTGACAAAACACGGATTTCTTGACCAAGGAACCAAATCTTCACTTTTTAACGGAGAGTTACATAATCGTTCATTTATTTATTAAACTTTAGTTTTGCATTAATGTATATCAGGGTGCCTCCGTAAGGAGATGATCTCTTGAGGAATTGATTTCAGTGCTTCAAAGAACCGGTGAATAATTTAGTGAAATTACTGTATGTGACAGCGCATGTACTCGTCTGTGAAGATTCTACATTTTGGAACAACACAGAGTGAACGCTGCGGAACTCTCGGTGTGGGACCGTTCCGTGATGGAAGCGCGGATTTTGATGGGCACAGTGAGAAACTTGTTCAGAAGTGCTTTGTGGGAATATGTGGCTTGAAGTACGTTAAGGAATTTCAGAGACAAAGCCATCAAAGAAACAGGATTAAGTGAAGCAAATGCGCTTCGGTTTCACCAAAAGTTGCGAAAACGTCAGGAGGTCACGTAACACGTGCCGTACAGAAGTAACAGTACGTGTATTAGAATGGAGTACTTCATAATATAAAATATTGATATTCTGTATAATATATAAAACTATGAGCTATCTAAGCACTGAAATGATAGGCTGTATGCAATCACCTTGAAAGTGTGCTTCATGCGTATGCTTGTGTGAATGTACTTGAAAGTGTGAGCTTTGACATTCTGTCTTTATGCAAAAGGCATAGCTATCACTAGTTACAGAAAGTACCACCAGGCGGCAGTGAAACTGTAATGTAAAATATAAGCGTTGATCAACGTAGAAACTGTGACAAGAGATAGAAGTTGTTAATTTTGGGAAGATTCACTCAAATCGGTTCATTTGAGATCATTCGTAATAATTTGTGGCTGAATATTTTTATGAGGAAAGACCACAAAATATACATGGGAAAGAAGTGTGGCGTATTTGTTCATAATGTCCAAATACGGTGGATTCCGGTTAATTGGGGCAAGTACTGGAGTACAAAAACAAACCACGAATATAACCAGACTACGCTTCACTTATTCGAGACACCACGCCATTTGATTTCACCAGTAGCTCCCACATAACGCACTTCTGATTACTACGTCAATGAGTAACTGACTCAGTATAAAGGAGCACCCAGCTACAGTCACTCTCAGGCTTGCAGTGACTGCGCTTGTGGGTCTACAGTGGGGTGTGCAGGGTTGTTTAGATCACGGCCGAAGTGCCTAGGAGAGATATAACAATCACTAATAAAATTGCCTTACTTGAAAAAATTCAAACCAACCGCCTATCATGAGTCCTCGCAAACTGAGAGAGATATCTGTAGCACCGAAATCTACAACTGCAAGCGTTACACAGCGGCAAGAGTAACTGTGAGATGAGTGGACATTAGGCCTCGGATAATACGGAACTTCCCCAAAAATGGAAGATGTTGAGGAGGCCCTCAATCAGTGGTCCAATGTTGAAAAGCGAGACAGAGGCGTTGGCTCAATAGCTGTGTCATATTGATTTCAGAGCAACAGCTGGTTTTTGTCTCGATGGAAATAAAGGTTTGGGTTAAAATTCAGGAAGGCCCACGGCAAGGACAGTGCTGATACTGTAAGTGCAGAACAACAGAAACCCACAAAGGTACAAAACTTCGGGAATTTTGCACAGACAATACACAAAATGCCCATAGAACAGGTTTATTTTATCATGCATGCTGGCCGGATCCTTAAGCTACAAACAAAGAAATATACCTGGTTCAAAGAAAGGAATTGATTGTGTTACGGTCTTGTGCTGTTCAAACATGTCAGCACTGATAAACGGAAGCAGCTGGTTATTGGTAAAAGCGGTGGGCGTCGGGATTAGCATGGGCAGTGTACCAGTTCTGTACTATGCTAATAAAAAGTGTGGTTGACATCTAAAATTTTTAACAAATGGCTAATGAATTGCGACGTGGAATTACGTACAACGGAAATCAAGGAAAGTTCCACTAGTTCTAGAAAACTGTGCAGTAGATCCTCATGCAGATACAGTAAAACTTGGTTATAGCAACATCGGTTTCTGCGACACCTTGTCTATTGCGTCAAATATTCAATGGTACGAACTAATTCCTCATAAAGCAACTGTTTTTATACCTTGNTTATATGGCGCACAGTTTGTAAACTACCTCCTCGAAACAATTCAAGGAAATCTCACAGCATCTTCAACAGCTAAGGAGGCCAGTGCAAGGATTGATGCTTTACTGCCAGTACAATATGTTGCCGATAACTGGAGAAGAATAAGCACCAAGACGATTGAGAACTGCTATGCTCACCGTGGTTTGAACACTCATGACCTGAGGGTGCCGAATAGGGCCGACAGTGAAAATGGCGCCACATTTTAAATGCACCTCGTCGGGAATCTCGATAAATTTTCATATATCGACAGTACTCTTCAATATTACAATTAAAATGAAGAGTACAGGGAAGGAATTACTGAGGAAATTGCGGTGATAGACCAAAAGATACCAGAATATACTGGATGAGGAAAGCGACGAGGATCACACGACCGAGCGTCAACGAGCGACTAACCAAAGTACTGCTGTACACCAACTTCATTTCCTGCGGGAAGGCAATGAAGACAGGCCCTGCGCTCATTTTGTTCCTTTGCACTGAATCAAGAGAACTTGTCAGGGTACCCTCCATAAATTCCTCCGTCAGTTAGGGGGCCAATACACGTACGAGCCTGGCTCGCGAGTCCGACTCGGCTCGGGTTCTAATGAGCCAAACTCGTCCGTGTGTGGTGAAATTAATCCGAGCCCGGCTCCTCGCGAGCCAGACTCGTACTTGTGTGGGCCGCCTACCAGTTAAGAAGAGCATGCATGTGTAATTGGGCACGCGTAGCGTAGTTGGTTGAGGCACTATGCTGGAGGTGAGTGTTCAGAGCCCCCGGTGTCAATTGGATAGGAGGCTGGGTGGACCCCAGAGCCCGTCTGGACGACGTTGAGAAGAGAAAATTCTTGACCCTACAGAGACCCGAACTCAGACCCCTCGGTCGTCCAGCCCGTAGCCAGTCGCTTCGGCTCCAGATCCATCAAACGCGTGGCATAAATATTTGTTAGAAAGAATGTGTTTGTGCCCACAGAAACACAGTAGCCAAGGTCACATATCAGTACCAGGACCAGCACAACGGAATACTTTACGCACATAGCTATATGGCTCAGATGGTGCAAGCAGTCACCTTCTGACTTATATGGTTGAACCGTGAAACACGAAATCCTTTGGCCTCTAGGAACGTTCAATATGGCAGCGAATATCGGCTCTCGTCAGGTGAAGGTGGCGGGGCAAGAACAAAATCGCTTTACATTTGGAGGTGCAAGAGAGTCCCGCACTGTCACAGAACGAGGCTCAGGCAGTTAGGCGCCGGCTTCGAGCCCAGGTTACGTGATGTAGGATTTGTGGTGGACAGAGTGGCACTAGGGTAGCTTATTTCCTAGTATTTCCCTTTCCCCTGCCAATTCTCATTCTACCGACGTCTCCACACATCATCATCATCATCATCATCATCTATCATTTGAGGCTGGTTCAATAGGCCATTACTGGCCGACGTACTAAGCGGATTCAGTCTCACGCCACCCAAATAAAAGTAAAAAAGGGTTACCGTTCGTTTTTCTTTTTTGAATCAAACTGTAAACAGATTTGTGAACTTGCGCACGGTGAAAAATTATTTAATGCCCGAACTTGTTGAAGACTTCGAAACTACATTCGTTTTCAACAGGATGGCCCACCGCAACACTGCCGTAACGATTTCTGATCGAGAAAGTGCCTACGTTATGGATTGTTTACGAAAGTCCAAAGGCATATTTTAGCATGGGATTCACCACCTCAACAACTTCCAGTTCAGTATTCACACTGATACTACACAGAACCTATGGCACAATCAAACGTTTCTAACAAACAGCAACATAAGCGTTCTGACCATGGTCCGAGCATAGCACATGGTACTGGGTTTTTGTACTTGTCCATCGTCTGGTAATAAACTAGAGAACACAATGTTTTTAAACTGCATTTGTTTCTGTCCTCGTGTGAGGGGTCCTCTCAGGAAGTAACAGCAGCTGGTATCGGATATGAAAGGAATACGCCCATGTGGCATACTTAACCAATCCAATCAGACAATCCAGTCTCGATTCCCCTTGTCAGCAATGAGGTTACTAACTTATAGAGACGATCAGTATGATCTCATAAATTCTTCATGGGCTTCTATTGGATTTATTCCTGAGGGTTCAGATTTTATTCAACAGATGGGGCTAGCGGTAGGAAAACAAATGGGTTCATAACATTCTGCAATTAATCCTATGCTTTGGTTTTCATGGAACTGGCTTGTCGGCTAGTTTTGTTGCATAGAATTTCCACATACTTTCCTATCTTATTTTCATGTTTGTACATGCTTCATCCCAATTCTTATTTTGTATGTTTCTTGTTATCTCCCACTGACAAAGCCTGGTCTAGGTACGTATACAGCTGTAGCTATGCTAACAGCCGGGCACAATGGCCACGCAGTGTAACGCAAGATCAAGCCCTGGGATCAGGGGTTCGAGGGTTCGAATCCCATTCAAGGCATGGATGTCTGTGTGCGTTTATTCCCTGTTTGTGTTGTTCTGTGTATAGGTTGCGGCCTTGCGACGGGCTGATTCCCTTCCAAGATTCTAACGAACTGTGTATTGGATTAAGAAACTGAAAATGCGGCCAAGGTCCTACAAAGGACTATAGAGCCTTCGATAGATAGGCAGATAGCTGTATTGACATAGTTTCCCCAGTAATTAATGTTAGCTCTTTCTGAGGGACCCAACAGAAGTGTCTCACCCATCGTCTGAAGACGGAAACAGATCTAATTTCCGAAACACTGTTTTCTCTATTTTTTTAGAATACAGCACGATGGACCAAGTCCAAACCCTAGTAATTCCTATTAACCTAAATAGGCTAACAACACGCACAAACATAAGGCAAACATGCTGTGTACAAAGAATGTCTAATGAACTATACTGTGCTGTAAAATCTTTTAAGGAATCCGTTAGAAAACTTTATTACTTACAACTCTGAACAATATTTTAGTATCTACAACAAGTTTAGATTTAATTAACTCTTGTTATCAATCCCCTGAGAATAACCCCAAAGGGCCGAAACATGTAATATTATGCATCTAATTTGATTTGTTCTCTTAAATATTTTACAGTGGACGACGTGTTATTGTAACAATTCCGAAGGCATAATTTACCAGATTCCCTGGTCTGACACCTACTGATATATCCTTTAGGGTTACGTCGCAGATATGCCAGCAGATCTTCAGGAGCTCCAGAAATATAATTCGTTAGAGTGTAACAAACGTAATGCGGTCAGATATATCTGAACACGGCATAGAACTTCCTACCTTTTAACTTCCCATAATTCACTGTGTTGTATGCAGTTAGTTGGTTGGCTTGTTGGTTACTTAATTTAATTATTTTGTTAGAGTATTTAGCAGGCTAAGACCATGTTTGCAACAAACAGAATCACTCAAAGACATTTCAAGGGAGCGGGCCGTGCCGTAAGAGTTTCAAGAAGAAGAAAGCATTTCGTCCGCTGTAGACGAGATATGCGACAAAAAGTGTGGAGCTCCTGCAGGTCAGGCGAGAGTTACATAAGAACGATCCATGTACTTTCCATATTAAACAATTACTGCAGTTCGACGTCTTTGTCCCTAGGGTTCATTTCTGTCATTTGATGTATTACCTCTGTTGTGTGCCAGGATATTACTTAAAATTTTCTATGTACAGTCGCAATTCCCGTGTTTGGTTGCAACAAAATCCATAAATATCAGCAAACGCCAGAATGCATTCTTTGAGTTGAATGATTTGAAACCCCAACTTCTGAGTACATGGTCACTGTAGTTGAGCTGACTCCTTGTCCCTGAGAACATGGAAGGTTCCACCATTAGGTCTTCCTACACACACAAAAGATATTGGTGACTGAACCTTGAAGATAAAGAATGACAAAAGTTTCGACGGTTCATTATCTCTGACTTGTTATGTGAACCAACAGTAATCATGACCATGATCTCAATATCGCTAAATTTTGTTCAGGCAAACAACAACCTCCTTGCTGCAACGCGATAAAGTGACTCACATTTACACTACCTATAATAAGTGGAGTTTCCCATGGCTTTCGTCAGTGTGTCCAGTACAGTGCCCCGATAAGATAGCGTTGCTTCCCTCCACGTTTCAAATGACCCTTATTCAGACTCACTTCACCAGTTCTCAATTGACGCAGAAACTATGTACAAATTGACCAGTGTCCCAGTGTAACCGGATACATAAGGACGACGCACAACTTTCCTTTACACCTTCACATACAAACATATCTAGCTTCCAGATATTGTTCATAAAATGAAAGTTCACGTGTTAAGCCGGGTACACGCATGCGCATTCCTCTGTAACGTAAGAGGGCTTCAACTTGCATATTACGGCGTTCAGGCGAACATTTGAATGAGCAGGTTGCATGTTCGCAGCTACTGGTAGGAACATGTCTTCACAGGCAGCTGGCGCAGCGCGTATGTGCATATGCCACACCCCGCCATAGAACAAGACATCACGCGAAAGACTTCCTGTGGCAAACGCCGTTGTGTAGAGCTGTATATAACGGCGCGAGTTTATTTTAAGGGACTTTGAGTTCCAAGAAATTAGTGGACAGTACATGCATGCCACCAACAGATTTTGAATTCCTGATTGATTTAATCATTCCGAGCAATTCGAAGAAAGTTACCTTGAAAAAAGACTGGCAACTCCCCTGCGGGTTTTGGCTACTGGTGTTTCGTAGCCTGCAATACCTTTTCAAAATATAGAAACGGGCAACCCGCCGGGTTATTCCAGAAGCCAACAGCCTTCATTAATTTCTCCTAAACGTCGAATTTCGTGTGTTTATCCTAATACTTATGATGTGTCGGATCCCAGGGAACAGACTCAGCTTTGTACAGTTTTCTGAATGTTAACGTGCTTTCGTATTCCACTTCATCGAAATGCACAAAAATAGAATATAAAGAAAGAGAAGGGAAATGACCCGGACAAAATGAGGAACGGCTTTCAACAGGCGAAAGCGTGCAGAAATACGTACAACTACAGAAAAGGAGTCCGTGGCTTGAGTCCGCAAGCGAACTATACCGACTGAGGGACCGCCGCTTGTCGGCGAATTTAGTGCTAACTTTAGCGGATAGAGAGTGTCGCATGGTCAGCGCAACGGATCCCCACAGCCGTTAATTTCGGTTTTCTAGACCGGAGCCGCTATTTCCTTGAAATAGCTCCTCAATTATTCTCACGAGGCCGAGTGGACCCCGTTTCAGACCCACTACTTCTCAGAAAATCTGGTAGCGGGATTCGATCCCGGTCCTCTGGATCTGTATGCAGGAACTCTGACCACCAGACCATAGAGGAGGGCACACGTGCAACTACAATGTGCTCGCTGCAAAACCGACAGTTGCGTGTATCGACCGCGCCGCGAATGGTACAGTAACACCGAAAACACTTGTTATACTACGCTCGTAAGTTAAGGCAGTAAGCGAAAATATGTGTCCGGCTTAGAGACTTCTTGGTCATGCCCATGAATCACTGTGTCACTTGTACACGTAACACGCCTAGCGGCGCCTTCCGTGTACCACACTTAACTAGTCTCACGTTTTACTATGAATCATGTTACCGTCTCTTCCTAATTTTTTTGCTCTTGTTTCAGATTTCTAATGGTGCATGGTGGTACTTCTTTTCGAAAATGATTGAACTATTAGATACGGTAAGTTTCAAGTATAAGTGATAGCTTTCAAAAATTATGTCAAGAAATTACTTGTAGGTGGCATGAAGATGCGACCTTCATCAGAACTTCAAGTTCCTTTTTTCACTATACGGAATTTTCAGTAGAAAGTAGGTCTAGTCACGAATGCCTCGGTGTAACCTCTGACAAGAACAGTTTCAGGAATCTCCTGCTTCAGGCTGCTTGAAATGATAAGTAACAGTAATTAGAAAGGAACCCTGAGGAGGAGTGCGTTCTCGCGTTCCATTCTGACACAGATAGCGCGGTTTGTCCTCAATTGCACGCCCAGACCTCCTCCTGTCCAGGGAGCAGACCACGCACCTGCGTTTAGCGGCTAAACCCAAAGCAGGGCTGTCTGAACACCACGCCTTCGAGCCTACTGCTAGGCACAGGAGCAACCTGGCGAGTTCTGATGCCGCAGCATCGCGTCTGTCACTGTCATGTCTTCTCTCATAATTTAGTGTTCTCACTTTCATCAGCAAAATATCACTAACTGTGAAGCTGATCTGTTACGATATTACAGACGAGAACAGTGTTGTCGTTAATTTTTCCTATATTTTGTATACGGTACCCATTACCCGCCAAGCGCGATCGGCTTTTAAGTATTTTTTATTGCTAGTGGAGTTGGACTGCGGCCATTTCTGGCCTATTGTACCAGCACCAGATGATAGGTGAGGGTGATTGTGAACCAATTGGTGGAATGAAGATTGGCAGGGGAAACCGAAGTACTCGGAGAAAACCTGCCCCAAAAACCCCACTTGACCAGACCCGGGATCGAACCAGGACCGCCGATGTGAGAAGCCAACGACTAACCGCTTGCGCTATGGCGCGGCCTTTTATATAAGTAAGTAAAGCTATCCCTGTACCAGGACGAGGAGGCCCATGGGGTTGTGAGATGTTGAGGTCCCCACATTTTCTAGACAGTCGGCTCAAAGATGGCGGTAAGTTTGTCAGCCTTACGCGCCGGCCACCCTTTGCCCCCAAGAATATTCCTGGTACTCATTTCTGTTAGAGGCTGAGTCGACCCCAGGGCCATAATGCGGATGCAAAGATTAGGTCAATTGAAAAAAATCCAGTGACATCATCGGGATTCGATCCCGCGACCTTCCGGCTTGTAGAATAGTGCCTCAACCAACTACGCTACCGCGTACTTTTATAGAGCATTATCTTCCTACCTGATGTAGGAAATGGTAACAAGATATTAGATACAGTTTTTATTAAGGGGCTCTTTCCTGGGAGGAAGAGCTACACCCCTGAAATAATAAATGACAAGAAAAAGAAATAAAATAAGTCTCAACTCTCTACATTACTATCGAATGACACATGCAATTCCAAATAAATTCAATAAGTTTCTGTAAGAGCATTTGCACACAAATGTATGCATATCCAAAGTTTTTTTTTTCTTGGCACTACAGCCCCAGTGGGCTTAGGCCTACCTCCATGAACTTTTCCGTTCACTTCGGTTTTTCTACATCTTACACATTCGGTAGGACTCCTTGGGCGGGCGATCAGCTCGTCGCAAGGCCTCTACCTGTACACAGACACAGAAAAACGCTCACGCACAAACTAAACATCCATGCCCTGAGTGGGATTCGAACCCACGATTCCGGTTTCCAAGCGAGCGAAGACAGTACGATGGGGTACCCAAAAGAAACAGAACTAATTTTTTTTTGTGGGCAGAGCTTTTGTAGTACCGCGTTTTGCCGCTATGAGCGCATAGAGCTAACATTCCTGAGTCGATAAGCCGACTACCGTTGCTTCAGAAGGTAAGGACTAGTTTCGGCAGAGTTTATAGTGACAACTGTTTTGTGTGATCGTCGTTTTTGCAATGGCCCGAACACATGAAAATGTTGAAAAAATTCGTGAAATCATCAAGGAAGATCGACGACGGACCATTGAAGAAATTGTGGAGCTGTCGGGAGTGACTTGGAGCTCAGTTCAGCGAATTTTGACAGAAGATTTGGGAATGAAAAGGGTGGCTGCGAAATTCGTGCCACGACTGCTGACTGCTGAACAAAAACAAGGTCGCGTGGAAGCATGCTGTGCTTTGAAAGAAGAGTCCCGAAATGATCAAAACTTTTTTTCAGCGTTTTGCTGATGTTGCTGAGGTGAAGGGAAAAAACGACGGAGGCGCTGTCAAGCATCTCAAAAGATGAATTTGGACAATGTTTTGAAAAATGGAATAAAAGACTAGACAAGTGTATTAGTGTAAGTGGAGTGTACTTTGAAGGGGATTGAAGGTTTGTGCTTAAAATTTGAATAAATAAATTAAAAAAAAAATAAGTTCGGTTTCTTTTGGGTGCCCCCACGTACATGCCTTAGACCGCTCGGCTACCGTGACCGCCTCATATCCCAAGTATGGATCCATATTTTAGAGACTTTAATTATCGCCGTCCTACCTAGAATTTATATTCATTGCAGCCCTGTGCTCTGTGGCGTTGTGAAACTGTAATTTATTTTCCAGGGAGCTATGTTATCCCAATTGAATTGCAGTCGAAGATTGTACGTAATTAATATAATTAAGATAGCCCTGCATTAGGTAAGACGTTCACTACTGCACTCAGCTGAAGCGGAAGGAAGCGCAATCAACTGACAAAATAACAGATTTGGAATTTTTATTAGCTGCAACTCAAATGTCTCCCGCCGCGGCTACAGCGTGACTCTGTGTAAAGACGAGATGCCCACTGGCATACTTATTTATGGGACAAACAGAACCAGTTCAATGGGATCCTTACGTATTCCACGAGAAGAGATGAAAACCACGCCACGCTTCACTAAGAATGTAAAGAAGGTCAGAGGTATAAAGTCACGCGCCTTATAACACTTTGAAGTAGAGAGTGGTTATCACATTTACTCGCGTGCCGGATGGAGCCATTTCCAACCTGCCGTTAACCACAGGCCCTCGCGAGAAAAATTCTATACCGGTACTTGAAATGTAGTGAAATGCTACATTTGGAGCATAGCTCTGTGTGGGGCTGAAACATGGACACTTAGGGCAGTAGATCAGAAACATCTGGAAAGTTTCGAAATGTGGTGTTGGAGAAGAATGGAGAAGATCAGTTGGACCGATTATGTGAGAAATGAAGAAGTGTTAATTAGAGTCAGTGAGCAGAGGAATATCCTACATGAAATAAGAAAACGGAAGGCTAATTGGATTGGTCATGTTTTACGCAGAAACTGCCTTCTAAAAGAAGCTATCGAAGGAAAGATAGAGGGGCGGATAGAAGTGACAAGAAGACGAGGAAGAAGACGTAAGAAGATGCTGGATGACCTTGGGGACAGAAGAGGATACTGTCATTTGAAGGAGAAAGCACTAGATCTAATTAATTGTAGGAATTGTTTTGAAAGAGACTGTGGACCTGTCGTCTTGACAGATTACTGATGATGATGATGATGATGATGACTTGAAATGCTTACAGGATTGTCAGGTGTCTGTGTTAACTTGACATAATTATGGAGAGAGAAGACGGGGTTAATAATATTAATTACTGATTCTTACGCAATATTACTAACACTGATTCGTGCCCGGTCTGGAGTTCGTTGGACTTGACTTTCTTTTGTGCAGCTGTAAACTCCGTCCGCAGTTCAGTTCCCTGCGAATGCAACAGGGCCTATATGCGCTATATTACACACGAGTATAATATAAACTAGGCCATGCCATGGCTCAGGCGGTTTGTCCCCGGCTTCCCACCGCGGCGGCCCGGGTTCGAGCTCAGACCAGGTCATGTGGGATTTGTGGTGGACAAAGTGGCACTTGGGCATATTTTCTTCGAGTACTTCGGTTTCCCTTGCCAATTCTCATTTCACCGACTGCTTCCACTCGTCATCTGTCATCCGGGGCTGGTACAATAGGCCAAACAGTGGCGGACGTACCAAGTGGACTGTCTCACCCCACCCCAAGAAACTAATATATATATATATATATATATATATTATTTATGCCGGTCACAGTAGCCGCGCGGTCTAGGGCATGAGCTATCTTCGATCGCTCGAACAATGGGATTGTGGGTTCGAATCCCATTTAAGGCATGGATTTTATGTGTATATGCATTTATTCTGTGTTTGTGTTGTCCTGTGTTTAGGTAGAGGCCTTGCGACGAGCTGATCACTCGTCTGAGGAGTCCTACCGTCTGTGAAAAATGATTGCGGAACTGCATAAGAGGCCTGGGCCCTGAACAGGCTGGAAGAACCACTGGGGGAAAAATAACATAAAAAACAAACTCTGTGGCCTGTAGTCCGCAAGCGAACTATACCGACCGAGTGACCACCGCTACCTTTTGCGGATAAAGGCTTCCACCTGGTCAGCGGAAGCGGATCCCCACGGCGTTTAATCTCGGTTTTCTTGGCCGGAGCTGTCATTTTCTTGAAATAGCTCCTCAATTATCCTCAAGAAGCTTAGTGGATCCCGTTCCAGACACACTACTCAGAAAACCTGGTAGCGCCGGGAATCGAACCCGGGACCTCTGGATCTCTAGGTAGGAACTCTGACCACTAGACCACAGATAATAAAATATCATGTAATATCCGAAAAATATCTGCAGCCGAACTTGAATTCCTCTTTCCTGAACCTCTGCAGCAGATGCAATGAGCTCAGCATCGCCACTAGACGGAGGCGCGTCGCCACATTGACACGTGGCTACACGTACCGCAGGAGAAGAACTTTATCATCATTGTTGCGCAGCTTGAAGCCGGAGGTCTTTCGTAAAAGCCACTGAAACAACTTTCACCAGAACTAGTCCTTCACGATAAATATTTGTACGGTGATAGTGGACAGTTAAACAATAAACGCATACATTGTGTTGAATCTAGAGACAGGCTTTAGTGTGTTTTCCAAAAAAACTCGTGTCTCCTTTTAGTCCTCCAGTTTTGGACTGTCTCTGTGAAAACTGTAAAATTTATCTAATTAGGGAATTAAAAAAAATTATAAACTTGTCCCTGTGCTTAACTAATTAAGCACTACGCCATGAAGGCGTGGATTTATAGACCCATATTTTAATGACTTCGTCACTAGTTGGAGGTGAGTGGTCAGCTTCACGCCACTGCCGCTTTATTCCGGGGAAAGGTCCCCCGGTACCCATTGGAAAGGGGGCTGATTGGGCCCCAGAGCCGGTCTGGACGATATGGAGAACAGAAAATTGTGACCCTACTAGGACTCGAAACCCGACCCCTCGGTCGTCCAGTCTGTAGCCAGTCGCTATACCGACTGTGCTACGCCGGTTCACTCAACAAATTTATATATGGGCAAAGACAAATAAAAATTATGAATACACTGAGTACAATTGTCGAAAGTCACTGTGTTCGTCTGAATGACTTCCTTCCGTGCGTCACAGCAGATCCTCCTAAGGAGACGTAATTTGCTTGAAGCTACTGCAGCGCAGCGGAAACTACGGGGTGCCAGAGTACAACATCTTCTTTTCAAAATCTGACTCTTGTCACTGTTGAACTTGTCCGATAGCGACAGTCGTCAATGGAGGAGGTCAAACTGAGGGGTACTTTTTATATCATTCCAAATATGGCGGCTGTTTCACGCTTCATTAATCAAAACAACAAAAAGTAACGATCGCTTTATAATGGTATAACTGAATTTTATTTCCTGCAGGTGTTCTTCGTTCTAAGGAAGAAACAGAATCAGGTGACGTTTCTGCACGTGTATCACCACACAATCACTGCTCTGTTCTCCTGGGGATACCTCAAATTTCTGCCAGGTGAGAAGCTCTCACTTCCGGGGAGTTCCTAACACTTTGAAATGTATCACATGACATTTCTCCGAGTCTTAGATTAATTTAAGTTTATAGGAGCAACGTTTAGACTCCAAGTTGTTGCTGGCTAACATCGCACAAAGTTACACGTGAATATCGGGAGGAGCGGACAGGCTTCTATGCTTAAAGCTCGAAACGAAGACCATCGGCCCGTCGTTGGGCCATACCAATATTTCCACAACCACTTCGTGAATTTCTTTTAAATTCAGTAGCTACGGAATATGTACATTATAACAGAAGACTGGGGATAAATTTTTGTTGCGGTACAGATTAGCCTTTTGGAAGCCCCCTTATGCGCAATAGTATGAATACCGGCTTCATTTTATTCATTTGATATACAGACAAGTTAAACAAGTAAATACAGCAAAAGTATTAGACCTTAAGGACGTCTATACTCATTTTATATTCTGTTGTGTATTACTCGTAAACCGAAAACTGTAGAATTTGTAACATAAAGTCCATAAATTAAATCGTTAATCCTCAAGAGACGAATAAGTAGAAACAGGCGATAGTGGCGCCTTTAAATTACTTTCCCAACATGTAACTCATGTAAGACCTCTGTGGTCTAGTGGTCAGAGTTCCTGGCTACAGATCCAGAGGTCCCAGGTTCGATTCCCGGCGCTACCAGATTTTCTGAGTAGTAGTGGGTCTGGAACGGGGTCCACTCAGCCTCGTGAGGATAACTGAGGAGCTATGTGAATTGAAAAGTAGCGGCTCCGGTCTAGAAAACCGAGATTAACGGCAGTGGGGATTCGTTGCGCTGACCACGCGACACCCTCTCTCCGCTAAACTTGGTACTAACTTCGCCGACAAGCGGCAATCGTTCGATCGGTATAGTTCGCTTGCGGACTAAAACCACGGACTTTGTTTTTTTTGTACCTCATGTAACTAAATACTGCAAATGCGACTCGGAACACCGCCTTCTGGGACTCGAACAGGGAACCCACGGAACAAGATATGTATGTGCTACGCACTTAGACCTGTAATGATATGAAAACACCGCAGTTAGGGCTTTTGTTGTGTTTCATAACAACATTCCCATTATCTGTGACTTCGCTGAGCTATGCATGTTCTTAGTAAGAGATACTTTCGGCTTTCGATCTGTCCTTTACACTTGGACGATTGGCTTATGCAAGCAGCAGCATGGAAATTTGAGCGAGCTTGTGTGCAGGCTAGTGAACTGATTCTTGAAGAGTATTTAATTTGAATTTTCCTGAGTTCAACCGATTTCGTCGGTCTAGTACTCTAGTACTTAGAGCTGACAGTCCATGAAAAGCTGCGCAGTGGATGGGCAGGCCCATTCGTGAAAGTTGAGGGGTGTTGTGTGATTAGTCATTCGTCTGAATTCAGTGCGAGTGGACGTCAAAAGAGCATTCTTCCTTGTACAGTCAAGTTAAAAAGTTTTTACTCTTGGAGTCGTATTTGAGTGCATTATTCTCTAATTACTGTATTAATATTGTGACGCGTTACCTTACGTCCTTCGCCACACAACGGCTACGATGGAAATTGCCGAGTCCCAACAGCGACAAATCGAATACACACAGACCGTTTTTTTATCAGAGCCAAACGTCTTCAGTATTTGTGGCAAATTAAAGAATATAGGGAAGAGGGCCACCCAATCATCTACATGGATGAAACCTATATTCATTCATCGCACACCGCCCCATATGCATGGAGTGATGGATCCATCCAGGGATTATTTTCCCCTGTGTCCAAAGGCCAACGGCTCATTGTTATCCATGCAGGAGGAGAGCAAGGTTTCATCCCTAATGCCTATGTCCGCTTCAAATCCCACCAAAAAACAGGAGACTACCACAGTGACATGAACTACACCAATTATGAAAAATGGTTAAAGGAGCGGCTTATTCGTAACCTTCCCCCGAATTCTGTCCTTGTCATTGATAAATATCCCCACCATAATGTACAACTAAACAGAGCCCATAACTCAAATTCAAGAAGAGATTTTATGATATCCTGGCTAAAATATCACCTTCCATCTATTACCTTCAGTAACACTGATTTCTCATCATTGCGGAATCCAGACATATATAATATGATTCTACCACTCAAACCGAAATACCTTTCCTATAAAATAGATGGAATCTTTGCAGAACAGAATCACAATATTTTACGACTCCCTACGTATCACCCACAACTTAACCCAACTGAGTTCATATGGGCCACCGTAAAATATTGAGTTGCTCAAAACAATACCACATTTAAGATGGATGACGTCATTAAACTGGCAGAACAAAAATTGGCTTCCATAACTGTAGAAGAATGGCAACGTAGATGCCGACATGCAAGGAACATTGAGCAACAATAAATGGCACGGGAAGGCCTTTTGGACGCAGGACGGGAGTTCGTCTTCCATGTTGGCGGTGATAGTGATACAGTTCTGATGATAGCTCCGATTCATCTGGTGGTGACGAGGAGGGACAGGCATGGGGACATTGCCGGTGTTGCCCCTTTAGAATAGACCCGTGTAATATGTAAATAAACTCTTCATGTATGTAACAGTGAGAAGTGTATAATAGTGTATAGTGCATAACAGTCTGACATTCGGCACTTAAAACTTAACATCGGATGTGTGATCAACGAGACTAAACCACCAACACTATGCAACACACTGAGGTAAGAAGGTATTTCCTTTTGAGAACGCCTGTACTGCATTCCCCTCCTAACTTNGCATTCCCCGCCACACTGGAGCTCTCCCCGCCACTACCAATACTTCTCCTACTGCGCGTCGGAGGACTGTCAGCTCTAAGTACTAGAGCTTTACCAGAGTGTAAAACGCACTCCCATACACAAGACACGGGAACGCAGAGCTCAGGTACTGACCCATGCCTGTTTGCAGGTGAACAAGGACTGGTGATCGGGTTTCTCAACTCATTGGTGCATGTCGTAATGTATTTCTACTACATGATGGCAGCGATGGGGCCGAAATACCAGAAATATCTGTGGTGGAAGAAGTACATGACTTGGATACAACTGGTGAGATGCTCATCTGCTTCATGTAGATCCTTGTCAAATCAATTGATTCCAGAAGTTAAGAACTCATTATAGTAATTCTGTTCGAACTCAGTTCGGTCTAGCTCCTATCAACAGGAGCTACAACAGTAATACCTCGACCTCCGAAGTGAGGACGTAACAATAGAATTTCTAAAGTTTGTGACGAAGGTACATTAGTACAAATTTTATATTTCTGGACATTACCCATCGCTCTGTCTTTATCTAAACACCGTTCTGTTTATTTTACAAAACACATCGTTTCGGAGACTGGATTCTGTCTCCGTCTTCAGGTAAAACCTACTCAGTTGGGCCGATTGGATAGAGCTAATCTTGGTCCGCAGACAGGGAGTAACTCTATCGATTAGGCCCAAATTAGTAGGTTTTACCTGAAGACGGAGACAGAATCCAGTCTCCGAAACGCTGTGTTTTGTAAAATAAACAGGAAGGTGTTTAGATGAAGACAGGGCGATGGGTAATGTCCAGAAGCATAAAATTTGTACAGACGAATTTCTCTTCAACATTTTCTATCAATGTTTCTCCAGTTAGATTGAGACCTCTAGCTCCAATAGCAGTACACAAGTATTCTCATGCACCTTACTGTTCTCCTCTGTCACTTAATTCATCTTGAATTATTATTCAACATGTTCTGGTTCGGAACACGCGGTAGCGTAGTTGGTTGAGGCACTATGCTACAAGCCAGAAGATCGCTGGTTCGAGTCCTGATGAGGGGGATTTTTCAATTGACCTAATCTTTCCAGCCGTATTATGGCCCTGGGGTCGACTTAGCCTCTAACAGAAATGAGTACCAGAAATATTCCTGGGGGTAAAGGGCGGCCGGCGCGTAGGGCTGACAACCTCACCGCCATCTGTGAGCCGACTATCTACAAAATGTGGGAACCTCAACATCTCACAACCCTATGGGCCTTCACGGCCTGGTACAGGGATAGCTTTACTTTACTTACGGGTTCAGATACCTTTAAATGTATTGTTACTCATCATTCTGTACTTTACTTTTGGTATTCGCAGCAGTTCTTGCTCATATTAATATCATATTATGAACTTTAATATTTTATTATCTAATTCTGACCGTAAAATCCACAAGGATTCCTCATTATCAAGAGTCATTTACCCCCGGCTTCGTAACAAAGTTCGTGTTTTCAGAAATGTAACGTAAACTGAAAATCTTATGTATTAATTATCTTTCGACAAATTCCAATATCTAAGAGAAACACAAGAGTCTGTCTACAAGCATTGTTTTGCATCTTACTGTACAGGTAACCCAGCTATGAGTTTGCTATGGCTCAGATTTGAATTGAATTATTCTGTTATTTGATGGCCTGGAAGCGAAGTGTGAAGACTGTTTCTGAAATTCTAAAGACTCGTCATGAATTTTGTACAGGCGCAGTTCTGCATCATGCTCACGTACCTGCTCTGCCTTCTGGCCTACGACTGCAAGTTCCCAAAGGCCTTGACCTTCTTCTTCATCAGCAACGTAATCATCTTCCTCTACCTCTTCTCAGACTTCTATCGAAAAGCCTACAAGAAGAAAGAAAAGCTAGGATGAAATATTCCGGAAAGAAGTCAAACACTCGCAGCCACACAGTGCTCGGCTTTCCATACTCGAACACCAGGCCCAGGCCCAGGCCCGTGTCTGTAACGTCTCTCCCTCTCGGCTTCTCGCTATCTTTACCTTGCAGCTTATACCCCAGGAATCATCAGCGGACAGCGTCATATCTTTCTCACCACTTACATGGAGTTTCAATGATCCTTTTTTTTTTTTCGTGGTCATTTCAGAGAATGTGAGGACCATCTGTAGTGACAGAGAAAAGTTTTGGTCTCCTAGAAATGTCATCTAGGATCGTTAAGGACTGTAGCAACAGTATCTGCACTAAGGAAAGGCATTCCATCCAAAGGTTCGCCCACACAGAGCGCTACGTACGCTATGTTCCCTATGTTACCTACGTCGCAGACTGTACACAGCGTACGTAGCGAACATAGCGTAGCGCTCTGTGTGGCCGAACCTTAAAGGGTTCTGACGGTGTTGGGTTTTCTTACGTTATCGATCGTACGGTATTGTAAACAACTCAGTGTTTCGAAGACTCAAACACTTTCCGAAACGCTCGGCTATTTATAATACCGGCAGACAGAGAAAGTTCGAAAACCCAGTAATCTCGAATAATACATTTATTTACTCGTATTATGACAAGGAGATGAATATATATTTCCCGTCGACCAAAATGAAGACTGTAGCAAGACTGTAGCAATATTCTCAGGACAAGAAGTTGGCTAGAGGGTTGCTCGTGAGCTGTACCGATATATTGAAATCTTATTATAATAGTATTATGAATATTTTCTTACGCATTCTAGTCAGCCACATGAAGACGGTACATATTCCCTTTAGCCGAAACGTTATCGAAAGTGCCCCTAAACTGCATTCAAATAAACAAATGTATTCACTACGACACTCAGAGGCTTACACACATATATAACCAGTGTCCTGCTGCTTTACAGCGTGGTTCTAGGTACCGATCTATTGCAAGAGAAGGCAAACGTGCTCATAGTTCGCTTTTGCATTATAATACTGATTATGATCATTTAACAAGCTGACAAGGAGAGGAAGTGACGGGAAAACGAAGACCAATAGATGAAATTATCTTATATATAATAAGAACTGATTTTCTTTTTCAAAATAGCAATTATTTGCGTATGTAATGTTTCAGGCATGCCTGTACTGTCGAGAATCAGTCATAACGCCGGAAGTTTCTGTGAAATACTGGTAACTCTGTAAGCGGAAGTGGAGTCCGTAATGTACGCGTAGAAAGCAGTTTTCTGAAAAGCACTTTAATGAAAACTTATTTGAATTTGAAAAATGCCGTCTTCTTGGATGTGACGCCGTGTAAATCTTGTGTTAACCGACGTTAAGGAGGAACTTATCGCCTCCATCTTCAGGATAACAAAATCCGCGCTCGAGGAAGCAGCGTGAGCAGGTGGCTGCAGACTGCTGGTTCCTCGCTCGCGGATCTTTCTACTCTGAAGACTGAGGCGAAATGTTCCTCCTAAACGTCGGTTCATGCAGGATTTACACGGCGCCACATTCCGGAAGACGGCATTTTTCATAGTCACGGCCGTGAAAACCTCAAATCTTACTTATTTTCAGTATCATATTTAAGCATCCTGCTACACTCTACACAATATATGACACAAACTCCGTCTTAAGTGCAACAATTTACTGTAGTTCTTTCGTCTTCCTTTCTTCTACACTACATGTTTCGGCCGTAAATGGCCATCATCAGGTGTATACTCTCACGTAGCTGTTACACTGCACTTAGTTTAAAATTCAGAAAACACTAGTCTTCCCAATTGTTCATTTCTTTGTTGCTAACAGGTTTCCATACATCAGAATCCTCCCCGCTCATATCTGTCAGATATGTACAAAATCTTTGTTACCTACACACGTCAATTTGATTTTCAAAAACTGGCACTTTTAAAATCTTCAATTCCAATTTAAAAATTTCTTTAAAATTTGTATTCAAATTTTAAAATTTAAAATTTTCAGGGGTTCTCGCCCTATGTCTATAGTACTGCAGCGGCTACTTCTTGTTTTCAGCACTGTTCAGGTGTTATTCTGTGTAGGCTCCCTGTGTGCGTGCCGCTGCGTATCTTTAATACGTGTGCTCAGCACGTGCACGTGCACTACGTGCAGTGTAGCAGCTACGTGAGAGTATACACCTGATCATGGCCATTTACGGCCGAAACATGTAGTGTAAAAGAAAGGAAGACGAAAGAACTACAATAAATTGTTGCACTTAGGGCGGAGTTTGTGTCATATATTACTTACTTATTTTATTTCCCTAAGTACAGCTGCAGGAAGAGCCGGGTCGGTGGAACACTAAAACATGAATAAATGGAGGCTCACAAACAAAATGTGACGCTATACACCGAGGCAGAAGTACAGGGCGGCCGAGGGATCACAACAGACAGTCCGCTTATGTCTGAATAACAGGTAAAGAAATCTTTCGGAACGTCTTCAGAAAATGCACAGTATTTATGGAAGTTATGACGTATAGGTTCTGACACGTCTATTTGGCCTCGTTGCAAACGAATAGGCAGGCAGACATTTTTCTAAATAATGTTTCTCGGCTCTCCAATAAGTCCATTAAAAGTGTTAACAGTGTCCAGTTTACACAGGTTTTCTAAGAAGGGGCCCTTTGATTCGTTTATCGGAAGTTGAGCACTTACAAATAAATAAGAATATTTATTCACCCAGTACCTTCAGTTTAGGAAGTAACAGTGTCTTGTTCGAACAACTGGCTGTGTACACACACGTTCTGCATTGACCGACCAATCGTCTGAGAACAAGCAACATGATGAATTATGATCACAGCAGTAATGAAATGCAGCTGAGTGCCTCATCTCTCACTTGTCACTTTCATTTCTCATGAGAATAATTGCACGCTTATATTATGAGTTATTAACAGAAAGAATAAATGCAATACTTTAAACATCTTAGAGTAAAGGTTTATATAACTTCAAGGACGCTAGTAAGGTTCCATAACGTTGGCTTTAGCACGGATTGTTATATGTGAATCCTACGGCTAAAGCCAGACTAACGCCATCTTGCTGTTCTTGCGCGGACGGCAAAATGGCGGATATAAGGCGAAGTGACACGGTGGCCATAAAGACGAATTATTCACGCTCTTTCGTGGTTAATTTCCTACCAGAAAAATAAACATACGTCACACAGATAGAGATGAAAGTCACAGATATTTATTTCATGTACAACTAAAGTGTCACTCTACGAAATATTTCGAGTTCTACCGAATGCCATTCAGCTCGCTTATGAGTACCTTCCTGACTTTAAAATTCTCCACCTCAAAACAAATTGTCCAAGCTGCCTATAGATTTTAAAATTCCAAATAGTATTGGCACACTGCAAGTTGTCTCCAAGCCAGACCGAGAAGGAAACAACGCAACTGAAAAGAAGAACTGGAGGCACTACTGTGGGCGACCTTGAAGCACCACGGTTGCATCCACGTCCGAGCTTTCCACTCCCGTCTGACTGCCGACGCTGATCTCTGTTTGAGATGCTTTCTCCGCATCATCGCCGCGAATGGCGGACAAAAGGAAACATTCCTGTGGCCCTAGTCTAGACATTTTGATTCGTGAAAATCGAGCAGCTACACTGAATTGCCGATACACGCGTCGGAACTCATCGAGCCAGCCTAGGCGTCAGTCGATATCCGACGAAAAGGCAGTCTGAACTCTATGTCAGAGATCTCAGGCAAAGCTTTACTTCCAGCACCCTTAGCCCCTGCAGTACACGAAACTTGTATATACAAATTAATGCGTACTTTTTCTCAATCACAAGTTTGAATTTCCCAGCACCGACTACGTGGTCTCAATATTTTATTCGGCTTGTATGAAAACGTAATAATTATGAATGCCTCGAGGTCGATAAGCCCGTTCGCAGCGGAACAGTACAATAGCATAGCAGTCTGTTGCGCAGGCGAAAATGGCAAGAGTATGCTCAGCCTGTATAGCGGGGTTCCGCTCCTGGTAGGGGCAGGAGGTATTTGTCTAATCCACAGGGTCAAGACCGACCCTGAGGCTCACCAAGCCTCCTATTCAGTAGGTATCGGGATTTCTTTCCGCGGGAGAAAAGCGGCCCCGAGCGTGAATGTGACCACTCAACTAGACTTCTGCTCCCCACACATCTTCATGGAGCGTTACTTAGTTGCTTAATTAATTAAGCACAGGGACAACTCTACCTTTACACACATCTGTGTGTTCATGTATTCTCTGTAGCTCAAGGATATGCAGCTTTTCTCGTACCATTTGTCGAAATCTGGAAATATAGCGCTCCTTAAGTACACGTATAACGTTAAGACGTACCTAAAACTGCCTACTGATGGTAACCGGGTTTTATCAACTTATCGTACGAGGTGTACGAATCCCACAGAAATACTTACTTACATCTATACAGGACCGCGCTATAGCTCAAGCGGTTGGTCGCTGGCTTCCCACCGCGGCGGCCCGGGTTTGATCCCGGGTCTGGTCAAGTGGGATTTGTGGTGGACAAAGTGGCGCTGGGGCAGGTTTTCTCCGAGTACTTTGGTTTCCCCTGCCAATCTTCATTCCACCAATTGCTCCACAATCACCCTCACCTATCATCTGGGGCTGGTACAATAGGCCAGAAGTGGCCGCAGTACAAGGGACTTAGTCCCACCGCACTAGCAACAAGAAAAATACAGTAGAACTCTGTTATAACGTCATCAAATGGACCTAAAAATAGTGTCGTTATAAACGAATGTCGTTGTAACCGAATTGGGCACTTCCACAGTAGCCTTATGTTAGTCACGTAAAAATCTACCAAAACCGAGTTAAAATGTTGCATTTTTTAGGGAAATACGTAGTTAAGTACAGACTAACGTAACATTAACGTGGAATTGCCCAGATGTGTAATATCAAAGACATATTACAGCGCTTTTCACTGACAATACACACCACACTAACACTGTATATTAAAGGTAGGCCTACTCACCAAATTACAGTAGATTACATCAATTGTTGTGCCTTACTGTACCTAGATACGAGTACAGTAATCAGTTATCTTCATCTGTTTCCTGTTACTTGCCCAATACACACTTTCTAAATTACGTTCAATGTCCATATCAGAGAAATTCAGGAATGAAAATGACGTTACATACGAGGTTGATGCATTTGTGCATGTCGTACTAAGCAAGGTATAAAAACAGTTGCTTTATGAGGAATTAGTTCGTACCATTGAATATTTGACGCAATAGACAAGGTGTCGCAGAAACCGATGTTGCTATAACCAAGTTTTACTGATACACAAAACCCGACCCGGCTGCAACTCGCACTATGCCCATGCTTAGATTGGACACAGGCACTTCAAACTGTGATACGATTCACATGTTTTCTTTTCGTAGAATATTGCATTGCAAAACATATCTTTGATGTTCCAAATATATTATGATTTTATAGCTTAGCTCCCTTATAAAATCCTGTTTTGTACCAGTGCCCTTCTGGGGAGAACAGAAATTGGATGCGCGGTTTCCATTTTTAGAAGCAATAAACCTGCACGTACGTGCAACATGTAATGGAACCTTCATACTGAATGAACTTACATCTCACCGAACTACGAGTATAGTAGCATTTCCACGTAAGCAATAACACATCTTCCTCGTAGAAAAATGTTCGCGGAGAAGGAACATGAATGTTTGGAAATGAACGAGGCATTGGTTCAGGAGTCATGAAAATTTACAGAAATCTATCCCAATTTTATGAAGTGGTAAACACATTTCTAACAATGTTTTAAAACAGAAATATAAAAATCATTCTGTAATTAAAGCACTATCATCTAGTGTGTGACTCCGTATAGCTCGGTAGACACCAAATTAATAGAGCTGATAACTGACCCATTGCTGACAGATCATAAACAAATTCCTAACCATGAACAGCACTGCTCACTGTGAAACATAATGCCGTCAAGCGATTCACAAAATTAATAACTTCCTTACTTCAAACATTATCGGGCATCAGGCATACTGATTCATCGGCAAAATTCGTATTCACCTCACAACTAGCGGTGCATTGATCGCCATGAAGAGCAGA